AAGCCTTTTTTTTCCCCACCCTTTGCATTACACTTTGCTCATGTGCTTTCAAAGCCCTGCCTGTAATGAATGAATACCAGTGAACAAAGACCTTAATGATGCCAAAAATTAAAAATTTCAATTAAAGCATTTAACATTTTAATCTAAAACAATTCCAAAAGTGAGTAAGTCCTTGTAATTTCTCAGTCCACCAACACTGCCAATATCACTACTTTTGGCCTTGTACAAATCTCACAGAGCTCCCACAGGCTGACACCGCCTCAAAGCAGACAGTACTACTTATGGCCTAAAGAGCTGTGCAGTGTGACAGAGTAGACCAGGACTCCTCCCAACAATGTGCAAACATACACAGTGTCTCTGGCAACAGGTGGTTTCCACTCTGGAAGTTACTCCCTTCAACTTGCCACCCAGAATAATCACAAACATGAGCAGCCAATGTGCTGAGACGTGTGCCCTTAGCTCCGAACATTACAACTACACTGAATTACAAGTCTGTGTTGCATGAGGTGGCACACAGAATAATATTACCTTGCGTAGCACCTTTCCACATGGGGGCCAGCCACAGCCCTGTCCCAGGCCGTTAATGAACCAGAGCAGTGAGAACATGGATACAGTGGAGAACCAGGAGAAGGCTACATTAATGCCCCCCACCAAGAAGAGGCCGATGGAGAAAAGCCAGCGGGCACTGATCCGGTCTGATAACACGCCGCTGATGAACTTACTCATGGCATAGGCCATGGTCTGGCTGCTGGTGATCAGACCTGCAGAAACACCATGAGGGTCACTGTTAAAGCAATATACAGATAGAGACCTGGCCTGCAGCTTTGGATACAAGTCAACAACTGAGAATCACATCATTTCATTGCTAATAATATAAAATCCTTTTTGTCCTAATTTTTCCCTCTAGTCATGTCAAGGCTGTCCTCAGTACCAGAATACTCCACCATTAAATATGATGATGCTAATGACTTGAATGCCATCAATCATGTATGAAGACTGACAGAGTCATCTGTTTAGTATCCATGGTTGGTCAGTCAGTCCAGCACTTGGTCAGTTTTGGTTTCTTTTGGCAGGACTGTTTCCTCCAGTGCCATGACCAGATCAAAATTTTATCTAGAATTTTAGCTTGGGACCAAATATCTAACTAGCTGTAGTGTGTTTTAAACAGTGACTGTTATGCAGTATGCATACTGACATGGTTAGCTAAAATAGTGAACAAAATAAACATTACCAAAAGTAAATAAACTGTTAGCACTGTCACTGTGAGCATGACAGCACACTGACTGCAGCAGTTAGCTACACTCCCATGTGCCTAACAGAAGTGCGAGCAAGGCTGAAGCCTCTTAGTCTCGTTTCATCATTTTCTTGTGCTGCTTACCAATAGATTGCACCCAATACCACCCTTCACTGTTTAAATCGATTCTCTTGAGCAAATAGCAAAGCGTTACAACTCTTCAATGACATCAGAGGTGAGAAAAATTTCACTGAAATCACCAGAAGCTGTTTCACCTGTGTGCAGTAGTTTCATTTTGCCACAGTGCATGTCAATACCTTCGTGTTTGTCAAACAATGACCTCATCACAGGTAACCAAAAACATGCAATTAATGCTAATGCTTTACCCAAGTCCTCTTTGTCCAGTTCAATCTCCTCCATCACAGAGGGCATGACGAAGGAGAAAGTCTTCCTGTTAAAGAAGTATAGCGAGTAGCCAATGAACAAGCAAAAAAAGATGGTGACACGATAGTAGCTGTAGCCTGTGGCCGCCATGATTGATTGGTACTTGACCCTAAAACAAAACTTCAAGGATGACAAGGAACAAAAATAATATTATTTCCTGAGGCTACTTTCTTTAGCAGAGTCTTCTATTTGGGTCCTATGGCATTTAGATTATAGCCACCAAGCTGAGTGCAGAGCTGCTGTTGGATGGTTCCAAGCAAGAAGTCGACACTTTTTATCAGTTGTTCTCACTGGGACAATAGTGATAATGGACAAAGACGTATCATTGGCTGGGCAGGACTTATTAAATATTTTCCATTAGAAAAACTCCTGATGGTGCTCCTCTTCCAGGCTGGTTGCTCTGTTTGTCTGTGAGACTGCAGCTTGTTGAGGTGAGCACACAGGAAACCTTACACCAGCCTGAAAATGAAAACATAACAAATGTGACTTAAAACCAAAGCAATTAGAACAGGTCATTCTAGAACTGCAGACCTTTAGCTCCTCTTGATCTGAACAGGCAGTAGTTTTAATCAGTCTTAATGGATTACTACATCAGATAAAGGATTACTTAATATTATGCTTGGATAGTGGTCACGTCACCAATCAGATCCAAACTCTTTAATAAGAGTGGATTTTTTTATGTGTAGATACACAGACAGGTGACAGATGAAAGGAAAAGCCAGCATAAGGTATCATACCATGCACCACCAAAACAGCTTTAGTACTCCTTGGCATTGATTGTGCGAGTCTCTGACCCCTACTGGAGAGCTGACCACCATTCTATTACCTCATTTGATGTTTTGATGATGGTGGTGAGAATGCCGTTTAACACGTCACTCCAAAATCTCCCACAGGTGTTCATCTGAGAAGGGATCTGATGACTATGAAGGCCACAGCAAAACCACATAGTTTTCAAGCTCATCAAACCATTCAGTGACTCCTTGTGTCCAATGGACACTGTCATCATGGAAGACACCCTAACCCTCATATATTCAGGTTTTCCCTTTCAGATCAAACAGTGCTAACTTTCTCATCATAGCAATATAATAAATCGATGGGCCTTTCTTTAGACAAAGTTTTTTCAGATGGTTATGTTTGTGATGACCAGTCAACCCAGCCACCCTGTTATTTATAGCCCCTCGTACTCACAAGGACACAGGATAACCTCATTCAGGATACTCAGGACCTGCAGCTCAGCTTCCTCCGTGTTTCGCATATGTGCCATGCAGTCACACAAATGTCAGAGTTCTTGTTTAGCTGCATCGGCGTGTGGAAGCTTATAGTCAGCAACTCTGAAATACCAGGCGTCCTGAACTTCAGCTTCAAAGCCTTCTATAGGGAACTGATCTGGTTATAGTCATTTGATTAAATAAATAATAAGTTAAGAGGAAGTAGAGTGACCAAGTCAGGGATGCATTCTTTCCTTTTAAGATTTGACACACATATGGTACAGGACGTGCACCCCATTCTGTATATGTAGCTATTCACTGAGCTCACACTTACTGAAGCCTGTAGCGGACAATTCATTTACAACAACAGAACAAGCCACAATGGGCTGCTTGATTCACTAAACAAGGCCATTCTTGCTAAGCTCGATACAGACTGTTCTTAGAGTAACTAGGCGAAACGATGAGTGGGGTGGTCCGTGTATTTGAATGTCCCCGAGGTGTACAGTTTATATAAAGCGCGACGCATGGATGCTGGCTGTCTACTGATAAAACCTTTCACCGCTTCGCTGCTACACTGAGCGACCAAATGCTCGTAAAGCTGGTTACCTTTTATTCGTGTCCCTCCTGCTGATCCCATCTAGTGACGTGTCGGTCGCGAACCTTCTTTTACCTGAACGATGGGAGCCCAAGAGCCTGTTTTGTTTTGTTTTTGTTAATACACCACAGAATGACAGGCCACCTTTATTCTACACCTGTCGGCCACAGGTATTCCTAACTGAATGTAGCCTTTACGATGTGTGCGCCTGCGACCAATCAGGTGTGATGTCAGATAAGGATCATACCATCGGGTCAAGGGGAGGGGGGGTGCTGACGGTCCACAGACTCGCAAACAAAATATCTTTTGGATCCATTTTAATAACATAGACAACACAACGGCAGAAAGTAGAAATTGGAAAATAAAACTATCATATCTAGCATGGTCTACCAAGGTTTAGTATAGTTACACCTAATAATTTCAATAATATAAGCGCACCACATACCAATCACAGGTCAAAACACTGCTAAATTTTGCTGAATTATAAAAGCCAGCTCTTCTCACTGAGCTGATCCAAATGAGCCTGCTTTCTGAAAAAAGTTGGTGTTGTGGTGAAATATGTTTCCCCATACATTAAACATCTCTAATATTTGTGCTACAGATTGCACTTAGCTTGTCAGAGTCTAAGCCAATCTTTAATTTCTGGCAGTTTTTAGTTTTACATGCCATCTGGCAACTGAACCATGACGCAGAATTAGAGGCTTGTCAAGCTGCTCCAAATCTTGTCAATCTTGTCATTATCACTGCCATCAGTGGAAAGGCTCATTTGGATGTAAACCTGCATTTAGGGCATAAATAATGGACAGTACTTATGACATCATAGTGATCTTAAAGTTACCCTGTAGTTTTCTTGTAACCAAACAGTAATGTTTAGACTCATGCATTGTTTTACAGGCATGATCACATCATATAGTAGTAATAGTAACTGGTAGGTTTTTTTGTATTACTGCCACCAATTTTCATTCAGTAGAAAGCTGTAAAAATGTCAGCAGGAGTATGTAGTGTGTTACTCACATGCTCATGCACACACTAGTAGAGCACAAGACAAAAAAAACAGGAGCCCATACATTACTCCACATTTCCACCAGTGATCAAAAACTCCACAGGGTGGAGTTTAAGAACATTTGAAAACTGTACACTCCTCACCTCTTGTGGCTAAAACTTGTTAAACACACTTTAAATTAACTTCTTTGCACCTGACATTTTCTTCACTAATTCATGTCAAGCACATGATATGAACAGTTGAATAAAATACACTTTTAAGTTCATACCTGTTTACACTGCAGTCTGAACAACAGGATGTATTGGATTTGGATGGAGTTTTGTCAAATCAGTCCCTGCGTACCTCTTGAAATTTACATGATAAATGCTAATGTATGGTCACTTCTGCTAAGTTGAAGTACAGAGAGAGTAAAGCCCACTTGAGTATTTTAATATTAATATAACTTTAAAGTCTTTATATTGTAGTATACGCTATCTTTAACAGGTTTGTGTGTACATATCAGGATTTAACACTTTCACAAAAAGGTGTTAATTCCAACCTGTTACTTTGAGGCCCTCACTCTTGATGTATTCTAACATTTCTGCAGGTCTCTGCCTCCATAGTGATGAGCTTAATGTTTTGAATTAGGTTTGTGTTTCTTCAAGGTCTGTGCTAAAACAGGAGCACCATCTCAGCCAGAGCAGAAGGTTCAACCTTCCTGCAATAAGCTAAGTTTCCCAGACTGCCAAATGTAAAGCTACAGTATTTCAGCATAATCACCTCTAGAGGACAGTATGACCACATCAGATAAATACTGTATGTTCTGTCAGCTGTCGGGTCATTAGTATCTACTGGGCCATATCTATTGGAGAATGTTTTCACATAAACTGTCCTACAGTTAATCAGCCTGTGTTTCAGAACCTCTCATGAGGTTGAGGCTCATAGTATAAAAGTGTTTTCTGCTCCAGGTCAGTGATCCTTGACAGATGTGGCCTGGGAGCCTTCTGCCAGCAAGCATACAAAGAATCCAGCTGAGCTCTGCTGGCGACATTAGAGAACCCAAATGAAAGCCTTTTATGGGACTTCTCAGGAATGCAGTGTTTGGGTGAGCTACAGACATGGAGGTATGGCTGGATGTTATCACTTACAAACCATATCGGGTGGTTTCAGGATAGATTAAGGTAGTCAAAATTTAAAAAAAAAATCACTTTCTAGTTATTTTAAACACAATAAGTTATAATTTTTCAGTCGTAATAATTAATCAGTTGTAATTTTTCATCATCACATGTGGACAAAATACCTACAGTGTTGCATCAGCTGGCCAAGACCACAGAAGTGTGATAGTATTCTGTAGTATAGTATTGTGGGTAGGATTGAAAGTTATTATTATTCTAATTTTGCTTATAAGCTTTCAAAATAAAAGCAGGACAGTAGCCATACAGAAAGTCCTCATAGTCAACCAAAGGAAAGAGCTAACCCAAAACATTTAGGACACAAAAATTAAAAAGGATGTTTGTGACACTGACTTTGAGCCCATAGTAGTCTCACTATTTCTGCTATAAGATTAAAAATCAGTTAGGATGTCAAGAATTTATTTTAGCTGCTTTGTATGTACAGTATCTGTGTCTGATTAAAAAACAATGTTGGTGGCATTTCATCAACTCAAGTTGTAGCTTTAGTGGTACGACTGTGCTTTACCTCAGATTTTGTATGCCCACTGTATCTTGTGTTTGCATTTGAAGACCTGTTTCATTAGTTACTGTATGTGCTGCATACTAATGCAATGAGAATCATTCTCTGCATGCTTCAAGACTGGCATTAAAGAAGTCTAATCTTTTGAAGCTTCACACACCTCAGCCTGAAGCAGTCTTCAGTCCAGCTCATCTTGCCTGAATATTTGTCACCTCAATAAGTTTATTGGATTTACAGATGGTGTGTAATCTAGAGGTTATTCATGATTATGTAAAATTGTTTTTATATAATTTGTGTTACATTACATTTAATCTTAGTAGTACTGAAGATTATAGGGTTTTTGAATTAGCCCACATTAGTCTACCATAGCTGCACAGATGATAAGCATTTCCAACCTCACAACAGGAGATGGCTGCACTGTTGTGCTACTGTGCTCAATCCTGCTTGGCAGCAGGACTGAGCACAGCCAACCTAGTCTCCTCCCATTCATTCACTGTCTCATTGGCAGCTAAACCTGTCTGTCTATACTGGAGTGAATGCTCAGCTGTCAGTGCTGTTGGAGGTTCTGACTCTCTGTGGTCTGGAGGTTAGTTTCGCTCCTGTGTTTCTGTACATACTTTCAGATATCAGCATTGTATTATCATTTTCTGGTCAATTTCAGCTGTGTCAGCTTTGTATTAACTTACTGCTAATGCAAATGTTGCTCTTAACTTGAAAAAGTTCCACTAGCAAACTGGTGGGATGCTTGTTTTGTGAAAAGGTTAAAGGTAATGTAGTTTGTTTCTCACAAAGTTAGAAGAGTAATATTATTGGTTCACGTAGACAACTTGACTTGCTGTGCAGTAAAGTGGAAAAACACCATGCCAGCATGTCTTGTTAGAGTGCAACAATGACTGTGCGGGGTTTAGTCACGCCGAGCCATGCTGTGACTAGACACAAGCAGATGAACTGTATTGGTGTGGTGTGAATGGTTTTCCCTTTTACTGCACAGTAAATTAAAGCTGTGAACAGTGAATAAAACTCTAATAACTTGTTGAAAAACATTGTAATTCCTAAAATGCATTCCACCAGTTTGTCAGTGAGAAGTTGTAAACTAAAGAAGCACCACTTGCATTAGTATTAATGTAACACAGCTCTGATACAACTGAAATCGACCATAAGGTACAAACAAACACAGGAGTGATTTAGGTGCCCTAGAAGCGACAATGGTAAGAAGAGCAGAACACATAAGGACTTCTAAAACTAGAGCTGACTTTCTTTTCTTTATTATGGACACACAGGCAGCATAATTTAGTGCAGCCATCTCCGGTTGTGAGGTTGGAAACATTATCATTGTAGCTAACACAGACAAACAGAGGCTAATTCAAAAACACTATATCATATAAATCCTCAGGACACTGCAGTAACATAGGGGTTAAGATAGTGACCATCGACTGCATCTTCCCTTCTTGACTTTCATCAGGGTATTGCCATAATATGAGAATTAAGACTAACTACAATTAACTACAATTTTCTTGTTTTGACTTCCACGACAACCTTTGATGTGCATGTGGTTCGCAGATTTCCTGACTTCTCTCTGCTGACTGTAAAAAGTACTTCTTCAAAATATAGCTGTTTAGGTTGCTTACCATACCAGCTATCAAGAGATTCCTTCATAAAACAATTTCAATGTAAATGACAGGGGACGACAGCTACAGTTCTATTTCTGTGTGAACATGAATTTTAAAATTTAGAAGTCTCCCTAGAAAAGTTATACAGTCTTGGTAGGAAATCATGTGGGTACCTTAAAAAGGTTTGTGCAGAATTCTCTTTCTTGTTGCCATCTGCCCAACCCACCTGTCACTTTATGCAAACACAAAGAGGGTATTTTATACTAAAACAGACCTGGAAGACACCTCTGTGATCTTTCTAAATCAGACTGCTAAAGCTAGAAAATAGTTTCTTCTGAATTTTAGAAGGCAGCTTTACATAGAACAGAGACAATGTCCATTGTCTCCCATCACTTACTTTGTAATTTCTTTAGAATGGGATATTGTTTCAGACAGTATACAGAAGAAAATTTGTTATAACAAGCAAAGCATTCTTTCAATGTACATGAAGGCATGAACATATTAAAATTGTGAACCTATTTTTAAACAGCAGCCCTCTGAAGAACAACTGAGTTATAGTTATAGTCTCTCGCCAGTCTCAGTCTCCACTTTACCTATTAAGAAAAACTGCATTGTACTTAGACCATTTACAGGTGGACTGGAGACAGAAGCTAGGTAAAACTCTATTTTATCACAGGTAGACTGGAAACAGACTGGAGAGT